TGGGGCAGCCAATATAGTAACACTTGAAAAATAGCCGAAAGGCTTTTGGAGCAGTTGCTTCAGGCTGATAGTTGTCATTTGAGACTCTAGTACCACAGTCGAACCTGCCTATGAATGCCATAATGCAAGATTCACTTATTTCAATGCACATTCTAGCCGATGTGAGGCAAGCAGATGGTGCCCTGATCCACAGAAAAGAATTTCACTGAAATTTCGTTTTTACCGGTTGATTTGAGCTGTGCACTGCTCAAATCTCTCGGCTAAATTAACATAGTGAATGCAATCCTATGCTGGTTTATCCCAACAAGAAGGGTGGTCTATACTTCATAGCCTGAAGTGTGGAAAGGTCTATTTCCTCGGCAACCTTTGATGCACCTTTTAAACCGTCGGCATCCAGTCGCTCGAGTTAAAATCTCGCTATGAAATTTTCAAAGACGTATCACTTGCATATTTTTAAAGACCAGATTTACTCCCGCCATGTGAATTTCCTGTTTCCCTTTGGCGTACCATCACCGATGGCGTCCATTGGACGGATGGCATCGGTGAACTCGAGCCGATTCGATGGAAGATAAGGGAATTAAAATGGATGTATATTAATAGATTAACTATTAGGCAATTTCTCAATCGAATCTTTATATCACTAATCTTATATATGATTATACTAATCTACCATACAGGAAGTCCATTCCAGGTCCCAATTCGTGACCTGATCGATCCAAGCCGGGTGCGCTGCTATGGTCCAGGACTGGAGCCGAAAGGAGCCAGGGCACAACAGCCGGCCTCCTTCACAGTGGACGCCAGTCAAGCGGGTGACTCTCCTATTCAGGTAATCTGGACTCAAAATTTTAGTTTCTTGAGGTATCTTTATATTTTATAGATACAAAAGGAAATAGGGATTCGGGTAATCTCACAATAGCTTCATAGTGGCAGACCTTTCGATTGGTTTTAAAAGGCGGCTAGAAGGGATTCGTAAATTGGCTTCATCGGACACGGAAAGAGGATTGTCTTGGACTTGTGGCTGCTGGGTTGTGCGAGGAAGACCTCTGCTCACCGTCCCACAATAGTGCAGTGCTGAGCTTTCGTCTGTCCTGTGACAGACATCATCAGAACCGTAAACCATCATCTACTAACAATTCATCACCTTTCTTACTTTAGCGGTTTGGTGAATTTTTCGTAAATGGTTTCTAGTTCTGAAGATGTCTATCAAATCACGGACAAAAGCTCAGTACGGAATCATCGGGCCGCAGTAGGGTGAGCCGATGTCTTCTTCGCACATTCCAGCGGTCACAAGTCCACGGAAAACCTACTTCGGTATCTGATAAAGCCTATTTACGTATCTTTTCCATCGGCCTTTTTAATCAAACTGAAAGGTACACTAAAATCCGTATGTTTTTCCAGAAGCATCCTTAATAAAGCACCAAGTCACTCATACTCACTAGTTACTATGCAGAGACTGGACCCTTATTTATCGTATATTCTTTTGATGTCTCTTTTTGTGGCTCGAAGGCGACCTCGAGGACTATGTTGAGAGCCGTGGTAACAGCTAATATCACTTAGGGAGACTCTTTCAATAATAGATTTGATGTCTTACTCATGAATAAACATATCTATCGGATATACAGTAACATTCTTGCTTGCGATTGCCTGAGAGATCTTACGATAAGCTATGCGCCCTTCCAAACTGGCCTGATAGTGGAAAGTCTGCTTTTATTTGACATTTCACAGAGCCTTACTGATCTCAAAAAAATAGCTTTAAATGCTTAACGTGTGTGGTTAAAAGTGTAGTAGGCCTACCTCAAACCAAGACAGTATCGGATTTTGCAATTACTTGGGCTGAATATTTCACCAAACGTTCGATCCCCATAATTTTTTTATGCTGCTTTGCCATTTAAATAATAATGCTATATGCCTATCACAGACAGCTTGAGTTCCGGACATGATACTTCCTTGATGGTTCGAGCAGAACATTTACCAATGTGAAGGTTTACCCAATGTGTATATAACCATTTCAGTGGCCAAATTTTCTTCTCCTTCAAGGCACTTTGATAATATGCTATTCTTAAACATAACCAACCCTTAAAGTTGCCTAAGATGAATCGATGTTACCCAGCAAAAAGTGGCGTTCTACTCGAAAGAAAGTAATTAAATTCCAAATTGTGAAATCAGCTTTAGATGCCCTATTTTTATTTATTTTTCTTTAGACAGTCAAGTTTTAGGACTATATTTTCTTCGAATGAGCTTTCACATACATCTACTATTCGCTTGAAAAAGTATACGAGAGAAAGTCGGGGACACCTCGGCGATATTCTGATTTAACCTGGGACCATTCGCTTTTCCATTAATCGAGATCATTTTAGACAAATATCAGATAAATTTATTGCATAAATAAAAATTTTTTTTCTTCATGTGACATACATTTTATTGAATCCGGGAATGGAAGGAATATACTTTTTAGCATGCCCCTAATAAAGTCTCTTTTAGGTGCTGAGAACTCAAAGTCTGAGAGAACACAATCTACCCCCTGCTTCTTGTGTCCTTGATTTATAATCTCAACTCCATTTTCATTTATATTATATCTTCATGTATATTTGCAGTCATAACCTTTTTTCATATGACTTCACGTCAGTTGCTATTCATAATGTCGGTTTGGTAATGTTTTTTTCACAAAAGAATATGCAGATAAAGGTAACAAATTACTTTTCATTGAATTCAGGGCTTCAGCCTCTCGTGGGTTATCCTCCCTTTTTCCAGACATTTATACGAACCTAAAGGCCGAAGCGAGCATTCTCCCATTCGTTGTGATGACATTGTGCAAAGTAGTTACATACTAGACTAGTTGACCAATTTCATTCACGAAATGGAGCTTGTTTTGATTTAATTATATGCATTTGTGTAGTGACCCATTTTACCGTTGTGATTTTATTTTGCGTAGTATTTAGAATTATTGTTCATGCTGTTGACAGTCTTTTCAGCTTAGCTTAGCCTAGATTGCTGTTACCAGGTGACTGTACTGCGTACTGATATTGTACTACTATACTACTGCTAATACTACTGCTTTTCGCCTCCCGCTTTAGGTGACCACCTCGGACCGGACCGGAAAGACCATGCCAGCACTGGTGATGCCAAGGCCAGGGCAACTGGGCGTGTCTGATGTCACGTACACGCCAGAGGTAGAGGGTCCGCTGACCATCGAGGTTCGCCAGGGCCTTAGTCACGTCGCTCGTTCGCCCTTCACACAACACGTTCTTCCGGCCTGTGAACCGCATCGGGTACGAGTTACCGGCGAAGGGGTGCATCCATCTCGATCCGTCGGCATTCCGGCCTCGATTCCCACCTCGTTTCAGGTGGACACTCGCGAGGCGGGCATGGGCGACCTGGAGTTGTCCGTCTCGGTAAGCCTTGATTTCGTCACTTTCCGCCCGGCTATGCTGCTGCCTCTGCTTCAGGAGAGTTAGGCAAGCGTGGCCAAGCCAGTCCCCATGGTTCTCATACCCGAGAGTTGCATCACTACTCGGATTGGGTGCATTTTCCCACTTCACGCCGCAATCATACTCAGCATTCATCAAATGTACTGCCTCTTTCATTATTTTCATATGCGAAATGGCTAAAAGCCGACTGTTGAATCTACTGCTAGCAGGAAGTCTAAAGTCGGCATGTTTACACTTGTTCCCCTTTAACGCAGTAAATGTACACATTTGCAGGTACCTGGATGACTACGCTTTCAGAAGAATTAGTGACCTAAAAGACTTGCAAATGCGCCTTTCCCGAATCCTCCAATCCAACACCTCAGTGATGCTTTCATTTGGTGTTGTAGGGTTAAGAGTTTAAAACACTTCGCAGTAGTCAGCCTGTTGTCCTTGGCGCTTCTTAGTCGCTATAAGCATAAAATTCAAATATTACAAGACCGTTCACTGTAGGAAACCTGAGTTGAGTAGAAATAGTCTAGCTAGGCTACCAATACCTGGGGAAAATTCTTGGTAAAAATAGGTTATCTGCTTAATCTATTACAGGTTCACATGAAATCACCGTTGGGCGCCAATTTTTATAAATTCTGTTATCTGCGTGTTTCCCACAATTTAAGTCTCTTGATAGAAATAGCATAATGTGGAAATCGTGTCATTCTCTCACTATTTTTCGTATTTAAGGGGAGTTTCAAGGTGAAATTCCATGGAAACATCAGCTCTACTCATATCATTGTGGGAAAATTCTACTACCAGTCCTTCATTACCTTAAACGAAATTGAGTGAATACATCTCATATTATAACGCTACGCTACCACCTCAATCGATATACGAATTAAAGGGAGATCCAGTTTAAACTCAGGATCCTCTGCCACCGTTTATCGGGCTACTCCGTTTTCAGGCCTCGTGGCTTTAATGCAAATCGAAAGGTCTCCCAGCTCATACTTATGTTTATCGAAAACATAAAACATTCATTCGAAGATCAAATCACAATTAAGCTTGTTGGCTTGTACGCTTTGAAATTACTCTATTTTTGGCTAGACTTCCTTAGCTAAGTGCTCGTAATTATTTTCTCGTAAGTGAGTAGATGCTTGAGACTACCAGTTAATCAGATATATGAGTTGTGTTCACACTATTTCGTTTGAAGTGATGAATGACTGGTAGTTGAATATTCCCACAATAATATGAGTAGAGCTGACGTTTTCATTAATTTTAACCATTATTGCCAGCCTCAATTTTATTTTGCATTCATTCGGAAGTAAAATATTCAATTTTTCGAATTAAGTATTGTTTTCGGGACTACCAGCAAATCAGTAATATGAGATGTATTCACCCAATTTCGTTTAAGGTGATGAAGGACTGGTAGA